TATTTTTGGCATTTCACGGCAGCCATTTTGAAAATATGCAAATGAGAAACATCTTATCATATTTAAATATTACCTTAATTATTTCCTCGTGTCTAGTTTAAAACCACAGTCGAGTAAATAAAGTCACTAAAATGTTAATTAGAAGTGTTGATATGTCTAAAGAAATGTATTTTGAAATTTCATGTCAACCATTTTAAAAATTCGATGCCACGCCCACTTTAAAGGCCAATTTCGTTGGGGTTCACCTCTAATTTGGTTAAACACCTATCAAAGTACATGTGTGCCAAATGTCAGCATTGAAAGCTAAAAATTATAATTACACTGAGGAATTTAACATGAAGTCATTCATGCACATTGTACATGTTCAAAAACTTAAATTACGTGGAGACCTTAAATAGGGTCGAAGTTTGGACCCCCAGTACCAGGCCCCTAATTGATCAATCATTCTCAAAACTTCCGAAAAACTTCCTCAATATGTCCCTAAGCCTGTGAATGGTAGTATTTACCTATTACTTTACCAGATGACCCCTTAGGGGGGCAATCGTGAAAAAGGGTCTGGTCCCGGGGGAAAAAGGGTAATGCCTAAACTTTGACCCTTTTTGACCCCTTTGAATTAATTATTTTAAAATTTGTATTATTCTGTCACGTCAAGCAGATCAAGAGCTTTATTTTGAGTGTTGAATAAACCTTCTACTCTAAAAACTGAGCATTCCATGAGCATTTTCCTTTACATTATGGCTAAAATTATCGGATTTTGGAAAAATTGCAATTCAGCAGAAAAAGGGTTAAAAAGGGCCATATTTAAAAAAAACTTTGATGGCATCCTACCTAGCCAGGTGCCCCACCCCATGTACTAACTACCTAGGGTGGATGACATTCTCTACCTCTCAATGATTTTTAAATCTTTATCCAGGCCACTTTTTCATTTGCGCCTCTCTACTATACGAAAGAGTGCGCGTTCATGCGCCTGCGCATGTATATGTGTACGTGTACGTGTACGTCTACGTGTACGTCTACGTCTACGTGTACGTCTACGTCTACGTCTACGTCTACGTGTACGTGTACGTGTTAGTGCGTGCGTGCTGTGGTGTGGTGTGGTGTGGTGTGGTGTGGTGTGGTGTGTGTGTGTGTGTGTGTGTGTGTGTGTGTGTGTGTGTGTGTGTGTGTTCGTGTCGTGCGTGCTTTCTTTCGTGCGTGCTTTATTTAGACTGTGTGCGTGCGTCTGCATGAGTGTTTTATCTCCGGACTTTACCAGTTCGAGTGTATACTGTATAGAATAAAGCCATTTATATCACGTGATTTTCACAAGTTACCAACTCATGTTGTGAAGGTGACGTGTAATTAAGTCTAGGAACGCGTTAACATTTCTCTCTATACTGACACGTAAATGAACAACCAGGGCGTAGCTTGAGTTAGTGAGGGGCAGTAAAATTTCGTGATGTATATACTTTAGTAATGCCATTCTTTTAACGTGTCCAAGAAAAAAAATCACGTCTGCATTTGAAGACAGGTAGGTAATTTTGTTCCATTAAATACTGAAGACAGACATTAATATTGACACCACATAACTACTCACACTAAGTTACTTTTCAAAAATGTACTTTTTACATTACGTAAACTGTAATTTAGGGGGCGGCCCCTTAATTTTTCCTCCCTAAGGGTACGGCCATAACACAACGTTGAGGGTTATATTCTCTAACGGGGAGAACCCGTCCCCCCAGATTTCTATGTCTGCATATTTCATATAGGAGAAAAACAGTTGTGTGTGTGTGTGTGTGTGTGTGTGTGTGTGTGTGTGTGTGTGTGTGTGTGTGTGTGTG